TTCTAGATAGTATTCTTGAATAGTATGTTTGTATAGTAAAAAAAACAATGATAAAGGTAATTAAAAACAATAAGGTAGGATAAAATATACGCAGTGTTTATAACTAAAGTAAAGGTCATAACATATACACTTCCATATGAATAAATAAATAAAATATTAATATAGTATCTAACACACAAAATGAATGAATAACTATGTATCTGGATTTGTCAACTTGAAGTGAATCAAGACAAAAAGTTGATTGTGACTTGTGTAGAATTCCAAAAGAGAAGAAATACATAGGAAGTTGAATATGATGTGTACTTTGGTCGTGACTCTTGCAGAAAGGAGGGCAGCCGCAAGGAGTATACGGAATGTAATACTTCGTACTACTAACAAAGAAACATAATCACATAGATTTAGGGCTGCAAAGGTTTCGGCCCTATTCTAATTTCAGGCCTTTGTTCTCGCATATTGTAATACAAAAAATTGGTCTGTTCTGATCTGGTCTAGTTTATTTAAGTCTGATATGTATGGTTTTAATTTCAGGCGATGAAGTCTGAATTTGTAAAGTACAACAAACTAATTATACAAATATAAATAAAATATAGAGCATAATGTTTAAATATTTAATGTATGAAAATTTTGAATGCACTAAAGTAAAAAGATGCATGTTAACTGTTACATTATATAATTGCTACGTATGAAAAAAGCTTGCCTAATTGGCTAATACGTAAATTGCTCTTTAAGAAGAAATCTACGTATGGGTAAACTACCTAAATTGGGTAATCTACATTATAGCCTAATAATAACTATACCGACTATAGGGCTTAAAATGTTGATTTTTTTACTTAAAATGTTTTTAATTGTGTTGATTTTTTTTATTGGTCTGTTTCGTTCAAATTTGTGTTATGTAAGTCTAGTTTGGTCTGATCTGATTTTATATATTTATGGTCAATGTGTTTTGTACAACTGTTGAAATCAGATTTGGTTTGATTTGGTCTTTAAAGTATGGTGTAATCTTTCAGTCTGTTGTGTTCTATTCCATGCTTGAATTGAATATTTTTTTACATTAAAACGGTTAAAGTATAATGAATTATTTCAAATTCAAAAAAAAAAATATGGAGAATCAGTTTTTCTAATATTTAATGAATGATAAAACTTTAAGGCAGAAACATATGATGATAAAGCAACAGATAAGTAGTTACCTTGAGATTCTTGGGAATTTGTTTTAGGAATTGATAAAAAACATCATTGTGCCTTGGATGCCTTGAACCCCTTGGTGTTGAAGGCAGAAGAAGAGAGCTACGTACTATACCTATTCCTAGGGGATTTCAAAACCGATTAGGAATCAATAACCAATAATGAGGCAAATTAGGCAGTTTTCATATATAAGTAAATCAAGAATTGCAATTAATATAGGAGTATACGGAATGTATACCACATACTACTAAAGAAACATACTCGTATGGGGATTTGGGATGCAAAGATCGGCCCTATTTTATTGGACAAAAATGTGACTAAAAAGAGTTAATAAGCCTATGCCATATTAAAAATCTGTATGTTAATTTAGATGTTTTAATTGAAATTTAAGACATTGGTCTGTTCTGATCTGATCTAGTTTATTTAAGTCTGATATGTATGGTTTTAATTGGTGTGATCTGGTAAATGTTTGATCGTATTTATAACTATTCAAGTCTGATCTAAGGAGAGTGGACATCACCGACACCCTCCAAATCATGCTATTTGGCATTTTTTTTGCTTCTTATATACGCTCATAAACTATCCAATAATACTTATTGTGAGAATTACCTAATATCATACTCTCGTATTAGGTAATTCTTATTATATATACATTGGTCAGATTCGTCATTCTAATGGGCAGCAAATTGCAATATTTATTTATGGTTTTGAGTTTGTTTCCATTTTATGGAATGTCAACATTAAGTATACATGTTCAAATATTGAGAAAAATTAAGGATGTTTTCTTCAAGACTGAAATTTGTTGATCTGGTTTGATCTGATATGTTCTAGTAAACGTCTGGTCTCTGTATATTTTATAAATATGAAAGTCTGGTCTGGTTTGGGACTGAACACAGTCTAAAAGAAAACATCCTAACACAAAATGCGTAAGAATATTACTCATTGCCCTAACTAAACCCACAATATTGGATATACCGCAAGAGTTTTTTTTAAATATGACCACTTATATGTAATTTTTTATGCCGGAACTTTAGGTAATACAATATACAAAAGGAATTATAGTTTTTATGTAGCATTGTTAATAATAATATGTATATAAAATGGTAAGAATCACAAAATCGATATTTGCTTTGCTTACAGAAGCAAAACTTGGAGCTTTCTTAACTTAGCAAAAAGAATTGAGAACCGGTTTTGAAAACAGAATTTGCTTGGTACACTACATCAAGCTTGGTAAGCATACTTGGCAGCAGTATATTTAGTGTACTTCTAGCTTAACACCATTTTCATTATATATAAGCAAGCTATTACTTCATAATCAGTATGAAATCCAAATTATAAGCAAAGCACACATAATGATTCAAAATTTAATCAATGATTGAAATCCAAATTATGTAATAGGTAAACAAAACTTCAAACCAAAGCAAAGTCAGATACTATCCAAGAATAAAAACCAAACAAAGAATTCTTGTCAAACGAATAACTGAAAATTTGTCATGGCTTTTCAATTTTCACTGACTTCAGTTTCTTATTAGACGATCCTTGTGTTGAGCCATCGTCATTAGGAGTTGATGTTCCTCCTCCAAATTTTCTACGTTGTAAAACTGAATCTGGAGTATCAAGTGCATCCTTCTCGTTGTCAGAAGTAATCTGCAATAATAAAAAAGCTCAGTTGACAATCATGTGTCAATTGCTTATCATAAACCTCAAACATTATGCAGAATTTCCTTTACAATTCAAAATCACTAATAGTCTAAAATATATTATCAATCATACATAAGTATGGGTCATAAATAACTTTGACAGAACCGCTATGATAAGTTACACTCTTTAGAGAAGAATAATTAAGTTTTTCGTCATAAATTCAATAAGAAAAGTTTTAAATTAGAGAGTAATTATTTGAAGTAATCTAATATAAAAGAAAACCTAAAAGAATGCTTAAAGAAGTTCTGTTACATCTGTAACCTAATAAATTTATTCACTTTTTAAATATATATATATGGATCAGGGGAGGCATCTGGGACAGTTTATTTTTTCAGGTTTTGATGTAATTTTTTATATTTAATTCATTCCGAGGATGATTACTTTTCAACGCACTTCATTTTGGATTATTGGATCCCTCTTGTACTGTTATGGAAATTTAGTAACAAACGTAATAGAAAGTATCTGTGTTAAGTGTTGTTTGAAAAGTAACAAAAGTTCAATAAACTATTGTCCAATTTTTCAGAAAAAAGGAGATCATTTTTCAAGTGTAAAAGATTTTCAACAGTAAAACCTCAAACCTTTTATCATATCCTGAATGTGGGTACTACGTATGATTAACTGAATGTCGAAAAAAATCAAATTTGAGCTACTGCAATGAGAAGGTAGAAGCATACCACATTTGAATCTACAGTAGTCGGTCCGGTTTCAAATAGCAATTCGAGATCTTCATCAGAATTGTAAGCCTGTTCATCTTAAGTGATTATTTTGAATGGAAATTGGAAAAATAGGAAAGTAATATATTCATTCATGTATGAATAGCTATATATATTACCTCGCCAATTGATTCTTCAGTTGTTGCATTTTTTATCTCATATATTTTTTCCTTGTTTTGTGAAACCATACTTATGACGTATATTCTTCCAGCACTGCCAGGAACCGAATCTGCACGGTTAATTTTGAATAGATACTCTTGTCCAACCAATTCATTTATTGCCTCAGGACAGCTTTTTGTTCTACGATTATCCTACAAAATAAGAAAATATAAAATGTTAAAGTTATAAATAACAGACAAATTAACATCACCAATAAAAATGGACTTAATTTATGGTCTACTTCCATATTAACCATCCACTACCATTGGACAATTTTCAGATTTTTAATATTACTTTTAGTGCATACTGAGATGTTACATACTACCAAAATTCATATAAATATAGAAATGTAGAATAAATAAAATAAATACTGTATTTTACCGTATCTAAATGTTCAGTAAAATCCCCAGCAACCTTTCCAAGCAGTTGGCGTGCTGCATCATCCCAAAACATGACATCTACAAAATGCTTTCCGTGCCTGACTTTGAGTTTCAATGTATATCGCCAGATGCCATTAGGTCTATGTATCCCACACTTTTCACAAACATAATCTTCATTCAACTTCTTAAAACACTTTAACTCGCTGCATGCAAGGTAAGCCCAACCCCGTGATGAAATTATTGAATATATCTCAGCATAGAACCAACAACCACGCACCTGTCACATTTGCAAATGATATATACCAATGATCATAATGTAAAACTTTAAGAGAAATTCATCTAAATAAGAATAATGAATTTGATAAATTAAGCACATAACGCTTTGCTTAAATTTAAATAATTTTTAATATGATTTAAAAATTATATAGACTTAAATTTTAGTATTTACCTCTTTCGTAATGGATAGCTCTGAAAGTGCTCTAGTGAAACCAAAATCATCAGAAGTGGAGGCGGATGCATTAGATGCGCCTGAAACTACGCTAATGGATGGCGATTGTTGTTGCATCATGATCATATAGCTTCAAGAAAGAAATCAGTTCAAAATTATCGTTATCGAAATAATTCAAAGTCTAGTTTGAATGCAATTGTAAATATGCATTGCAAATTCTACTAAAAATAATATATACCGCTCTCGAAAATCATCAATATCAGGAATGTGATCATCCAACAACAATTTTGTGAAATGTAATGCTGAAGACACACCCTTTGTATCACCGGCTGCATTAAATCATGATGGTCATTTGCTTAAAAAATGTTGAATCTATTTAAGATATTGGAATATAGAAAAACCACTCATCAGAAGTACCAAAACGTTTGTTTATTCGTCCCAATTGCAGGAGCACGATAACAGGATTTTGCCTGGGAACTTCTAAGAACCTCAAAAATTGAGCAGAATAATCACCCCACAATGTGCACCAAATTTTAATGTTCCTGGATGTAAATTATAAACTAATGATTAAAGAACAATAAAAATATGCTTGTTAAATTATATATTTAGTAATTAAAATTCTATTAACTGTAGATTGGTTATCTGAAATCTACACCAAGATTTACTGAAGTCATCTGGTTTGAATAGAGCATCATCCGGATTGTATGCACCCATGACATCTACAAAAACGATCAAATTGTTAAGTGCAGATTATATGAAAATTGTAAAGATGTTGAAAATCTAGCTAATACAATTGTTGTGACTAATACATACCCAACAAATTAGCACCCACTACATCGGGGCCATTAATAATATCAGAAAACTCTGTGATTTTATAGACGCTTTTCCTGAAGTAGTCATGCTTCTTATCTTCTTGGTAAGCGATTTTTGTATTATCTGTGAAGAACAAACGATATGGATGGGGAGTTGGCCTCCAATTGCCCTGATTTTCTTTTACTTCAAAGTTCTTTATTGCATACAATTTTCCTTCTTCGAATTTGTCTTCAAGCTGCGGAATCAACTGGAGCGGAATTGTGGCTTGGATAAATGTACCCTACATTTGAATTAGGTGTCAGCTTTATAAACAAATTATATAATAGCTTACAATGCCAGAAAATGTAAATTATCTTTGAGAACACACTTTCAATGTCAAACATAATAGTTAAACAAATATAAATACATATTAGAGATTGACAGATAAGTACTCCTGGTAGCTTCTACTTTAAAATTAGAACACAAATAAGCTACACAGATGATTCTGCCGGAATGAAGTGGTAGTAACTAAACATTTCCCATCCCTACATCTTATTATATACAACAAATAATGAAAAGAGATCTTATCTTTCATCAATAATAAGATATACAGGAAAGTAGTGAATAAATGTACCCCCAGAAAAGAAAAAAAATTTTAAAAATTTCGATTATTCTGCCACCTAACAAAGAGTGTGTTAAAAAATGCAAGTTTTTAAAAAGTTATAGTTTTAGTTTATGAAAATGAAATGATGAACCGATTTCCTTTTCTAAATTGAGATTTTGGAGAGCAAGTTACTAAACTAATTTTTATAGAGGACTCAGAAGAAGAAGAAGATTATGGATTTTGTTAACAAATCAATCAAATAATCAAACTATATCTCTTTGGTCTAGAGGTGAGTCAAAAATAAGAGAGCTATGTTAATGCAATGGTATTAATGAGTAAATGGCCCTTTTTTCCTGAGGTTTAATTTAAAAGACCTTAGAATTAGTAAACTTTTCTCTCATGGAACTGGTAGAGAAAGTACTTTCTGATATCATTTTTTTATTTACTCCAGGATGGCAGGATTCATGCCATGTTCTCTTGTTACTTTTTAAATACTTCGTTGCATTTAAAAAAAATAGAATTTGTTTACTAATTCACACTGCAGCTTATAAGACACAGAAAAGCAGCTTTATTTTAAAGAATTGATAAAAATGGGAGGTTTTCCAATTTTGGAAGCTGTCAAAACCAAAGGGCTAAGTTCTTAATGAAACTGCTGAGTTGGTTGTTCTTAAAGTTTTCCTTAGTTAATACTTCTGTCATTCTGTGATGCTTTGCAGCCAATTTTGGTGATTACTTCTAAGTGCAAGTTGAGATGGCTGATTAAATTGTTGGTTCTCCAAGTATATCTGCTATTGAGATGGCTGATTAAATTGAAGAATAAATAAGCTGGACATGCATATCATGTTTATATATTATCTGAGGAAAGACTTATTATTTGGCCTTCAAACTTTTCTGGACTATTTAACACAAATATAGATGTAATTTATTACCTCTTCGTCCATCAATACTAATTCAGATTTGGTCCTAGAAGGAGTCCATTTTCTGGCAACACGAAGTAGAAACGCAGCACGCACATCCAAATTAGGTGTGACATCCGAAAGGACTTTCTTAACTGGTGCCATGTCCTACACAAAAAGAAAACAGTAGCAACCTTCACATAATGGTAAAAATAAAGATGCATGTTTAAAATGATAAACTCGGTGAATGAATATTTAAAATATGACACGCTATCAAGTGAAAAATAAAAACCATTTAGGGCACAAACTGTGAGAGAGTGGGTGTACGATAAAAAAACACTATCAGCTTATATGACATAAGTTTTTAACATATTAGTAAAGAGTAAAACTACAGCTTTATCACATAAGTTTTAATGTTATCATTGTTTTTTTAGATTGTTTATGTAAAGAGGAGAAAGTTTTGTAAGATTGATGTAACACTTAAGATATAAGAATAATTTGATTGAACTGTAAATAGTCAACGATGCAATTTGGTAACAAATGGGATACCGAGAGGGATGAGAATTATGCTGATTGAACTATAAATAGTTAATCATTTAGAGCAAGTTTATGGCAATAATAATACTCATTATGAGAGTTGGAAAAAACTGGAAGAATACTCCTGAGCAGTTGTTATAGCTGCACTTTATATATCCATATGGTATTCATGTGATTTTTGTGGTGTTTGTTATTGATAAAAATACATATCTATTTAGTTCAATAAATATGTATTTATGAACTAATGCAAGATAAAGTTTTAGTAATGAAGTAATGCAAGTAAAATTTATCTTATATGCTCACAGCCTCACACCAAACTATAAAATATGCAGTTTTATTGAAGATAGTGTAAAGACCTCTTACTTTATTCTAATATCACACCAGGTACATACTAAACTATTTTAAATTTATACTGCTAGAAGCCTAGAAAGTGGATTCTCTCAAGAGTGTTTCTCTTTTCGTTTTGATATCTTTAAAGTTTTTAGGTTAGATGTGATTCTCTCGTTGTATTATGAAATTACTTTAAATGTATATTACTCCTTAGCTTGGATGATAATCTGCAGTTAAAAGGGAAAGTAAATTTGTTTAATGAATAATATCTGTAAAGATCAGTTCTGCCAGCCCTTTAAAACTCAGCCCAACTGCACCAAAAACTCAGCCAATCTCTTAATGCAGCAAGGTTTGAGAATTACCCCAACAGGCAAGGTTTAAGAATAATTTGATTGAACTGTAAATAGTCAACGATGCAATTTGGTAACAAATGGGATACCGAGAGGGATGAGAATTATGCTGATTGAACTGTAAATAGTTAATCATGTAGAGCAAGTTTATGGCAATAATAATACTCATTATGAGAGTTGGAAAACACAGAGAGAGCAAGTTTAAGAATCCAGTAATAAACATTGTTAGAGTTGAAAAAAGAGAGAGGTATCCTTGTAAATTTTAAAGGTATACCTGTTGGAAATTTGCCTGCAAATAGAGAAGAATGAGAAGGGCTGTGTGGATTTGCCTGGGTGTTAGAGGTCGTGGGTGTATATATATATAATATAATAAAGACGGTAATTAGGGTTCGATGGTATTAGGGTGCATAGATTATATATTTAAGGTTAATTAGGATTCTGAGAATGTACGTTTCCTTATGTATGCCCGTTAAATTAGGGATTGCCTCAAATCATCGATTATGTAAATAAATATATAGGTTTAATTTTTAAATTTTAATGTTCCTGGATGTAAATTATAAACTAATGATTAAAGAACAATAAAAATATGCTTGTTAAATTATATATTTAGTAATTAAAATTCTATTAACTGTAGATTGGTTATCTGAAATCTACACCAAGATTTACTGAAGTCATCTGGTTTGAATAGAGCATCATCCGAATTGTATGCACCCATGACATCTACAAAAACGATCAAATTGTTAAGTGCAGATTATATGAAAATTGTAAAGATGTTGAAAATCTAGCTAATACAATTGTTGTGACTAATACATACCCAACAAATTAGCACCCACTACATCGGGGCCATTAATAATATCAGAAAACTCTGTGATTTTATAGACGCTTTTCCTGAAGTAGTCATGCTTCTTATCTTCTTGGTAAGCGATTTTTGTATTATCTGTGAAGAACAAACGATATGGATGGGGAGTTGGCCTCCAATTGCCCTGATTTTCTTTTACTTCAAAGTTCTTTATTGCATACAATTTTCCTTCTTCGAATTTATCTTCAAGCTGCGGAATCAACTGGAGCGGAATTGTGGCTTGGATAAATGTACCCTACATTTGAATTAGGTGTCAGCTTTATAAACAAATTATATAATAGCTTACAATGCCAGAAAATGTAAATTATCTTTGAGAACACACTTTCAATGTCAAACATAATAGTTAAACAAATATAAATACATATTAGAGATTGACAGATAAGTACTCCTGGTAGCTTCTACTTTAAAATTAGAACACAAATAAGCTACACAGATGATTCTGCCGGAATGAAGTGGTAGTAACTAAACATTTCCCATCCCTACATCTTATTATATACAACAAATAATGAAAAGAGATCTTATCTTTCATCAATAATAAGATATACAGGAAAGTAGTGAATAAATGTACCCCCAGAAAAGAAAAAAAATTTTAAAAATTTCGATTATTCTGCCACCTAACAAAGAGTGTGTTAAAAAATGCAAGTTTTTAAAAAGTTATAGTTTTAGTTTATGAAAATGAAATGATGAACCGATTTCCTTTTCTAAATTGAGATTTTGGAGAGCAAGTTACTAAACTAATTTTTATAGAGGACTCAGAAGAAGAAGAAGATTATGGATTTTGTTAACAAATCAATCAAATAATCAAACTATATCTCTTTGGTCTAGAGGTGAGTCAAAAATAAGAGAGCTATGTTAATGCAATGGTATTAATGAGTAAATGGCCCTTTTTTCCTGAGGTTTAATTTAAAAGACCTTAGAATTAGTAAACTTTTCTCTCATGGAACTGGTAGAGAAAGTACTTTCTGATATCATTTTTTTATTTACTCCAGGATGGCAGGATTCATGCCATGTTCTCTTGTTACTTTTTAAATACTTCGTTGCATTTAAAAAAAATAGAATTTGTTTACTAATTCACACTGCAGCTTATAAGACACAGAAAAGCAGCTTTATTTTAAAGAATTGATAAAAATGGGAGGTTTTCCAATTTTGGAAGCTGTCAAAACCAAAGGGCTAAGTTCTTAATGAAACTGCTGAGTTGGTTGTTCTTAAAGTTTTCCTTAGTTAATACTTCTGTCATTCTGTGATGCTTTGCAGCCAATTTTGGTGATTACTTCTAAGTGCAAGTTGAGATGGCTGATTAAATTGTTGGTTCTCCAAGTATATCTGCTATTGAGATGGCTGATTAAATTGAAGAATAAATAAGCTGGACATGCATATCATGTTTATATATTATCTGAGGAAAGACTTATTATTTGGCCTTCAAACTTTTCTGGACTATTTAACACAAATATAGATGTAATTTATTACCTCTTCGTCCATCAATACTAATTCAGATTTGGTCCTAGAAGGAGTCCATTTTCTGGCAACACGAAGTAGAAACGCAGCACGCACATCCAAATTAGGTGTGACATCCGAAAGGACTTTCTTAACTGGTGCCATGTCCTACACAAAAAGAAAACAGTAGCAACCTTCACATAATGGTAAAAATAAAGATGCATGTTTAAAATGATAAACTCGGTGAATGAATATTTAAAATATGACACGCTATCAAGTGAAAAATAAAAACCATTTAGGGCACAAACTGTGAGAGAGTGGGTGTACGATAAAAAAACACTATCAGCTTATATGACATAAGTTTTTAACATATTAGTAAAGAGTAAAACTACAGCTTTATCACATAAGTTTTAATGTTATCATTGTTTTTTTAGATTGTTTATGTAAAGAGGAGAAAGTTTTGTAAGATTGATGTAACACTTAAGATATAAGAATAATTTGATTGAACTGTAAATAGTCAACGATGCAATTTGGTAACAAATGGGATACCGAGAGGGATGAGAATTATGCTGATTGAACTATAAATAGTTAATCATTTAGAGCAAGTTTATGGCAATAATAATACTCATTATGAGAGTTGGAAAAAACTGGAAGAATACTCCTGAGCAGTTGTTATAGCTGCACTTTATATATCCATATGGTATTCATGTGATTTTTGTGGTGTTTGTTATTGATAAAAATACATATCTATTTAGTTCAATAAATATGTATTTATGAACTAATGCAAGATAAAGTTTTAGTAATGAAGTAATGCAAGTAAAATTTATCTTATATGCTCACAGCCTCACACCAAACTATAAAATATGCAGTTTTATTGAAGATAGTGTAAAGACCTCTTACTTTATTCTAATATCACACCAGGTACATACTAAACTATTTTAAATTTATACTGCTAGAAGCCTAGAAAGTGGATTCTCTCAAGAGTGTTTCTCTTTTCGTTTTGATATCTTTAAAGTTTTTAGGTTAGATGTGATTCTCTCGTTGTATTATGAAATTACTTTAAATGTATATTACTCCTTAGCTTGGATGATAATCTGCAGTTAAAAGGGAAAGTAAATTTGTTTAATGAATAATATCTGTAAAGATCAGTTCTGCCAGCCCTTTAAAACTCAGCCCAACTGCACCAAAAACTCAGCCAATCTCTTAATGCAGCAAGGTTTGAGAATTACCCCAACAGGCAAGGTTTAAGAATAATTTGATTGAACTGTAAATAGTCAACGATGCAATTTGGTAACAAATGGGATACCGAGAGGGATGAGAATTATGCTGATTGAACTGTAAATAGTTAATCATGTAGAGCAAGTTTATGGCAATAATAATACTCATTATGAGAGTTGGAAAACACAGAGAGAGCAAGTTTAAGAATCCAGTAATAAACATTGTTAGAGTTGAAAAAAGAGAGAGGTATCCTTGTAAATTTTAAAGGTATACCTGTTGGAAATTTGCCTGCAAATAGAGAAGAATGAGAAGGGCTGTGTGGATTTGCCTGGGTGTTAGAGGTCGTGGGTGTATATATATATAATATAATAAAGACGGTAATTAGGGTTCGATGGTATTAGGGTGCATAGATTATATATTTAAGGTTAATTAGGATTCTGAGAATGTACGTTTCCTTATGTATGCCCGTTAAATTAGGGATTGCCTCAAATCATCGATTATGTAAATAAATATATAGGTTTAATTTTTAAATTTTAATGTTCCTGGATGTAAATTATAAACTAATGATTAAAGAACAATAAAAATATGCTTGTTAAATTATATATTTAGTAATTAAAATTCTATTAACTGTAGATTGGTTATCTGAAATCTACACCAAGATTTACTGAAGTCATCTGGTTTGAATAGAGCATCATCCGAATTGTATGCACCCATGACATCTACAAAAACGATCAAATTGTTAAGTGCAGATTATATGAAAATTGTAAAGATGTTGAAAATCTAGCTAATACAATTGTTGTGACTAATACATACCCAACATGCACGTTATTTCAAAAAAAAAAAAATCTAACATGCACGTTACAGACTTTTATGCTAGAAAACTGTTAAGACACGGGGTTCCATCCTAAAAGGTCAACCTGATAGGAGAAGTAGCTCGTGTGTTAATATAGCACTTTGTTCATCCAAACGTTTCCGGTGTGGGACATTTAACACCCCTCCTCACGACCAGACACTTCGTCTGGATCGTGCAATCATTCATTTTTTTTTCATCGGTCCGTTTTTTTCATCCGGCCATTTTTTATAATCGTGTCATCACGATTCATAAGGGGCCCGACACCATGGATCGATTTGGCTCTGATACCATGTTAAGACACGGGGTTCCATCCTAAAAGGTCAACCTGATAGGAGAAGTAGCCCGTGTGTTAATATAGCACTTTGTTCATCCAAACGTTTCCGGTGTGTGACATTTAACAAAAACAGGAAAGATTCTCATTACTTAATGATATACAGAGTAACTGGAGTCATTGCTATTTAGGATCCCTGCTTTTTTGTATTGTATGTCGTGGGATGGAGTTGAAAATATTTAAATGTTTAATTTTGATAGCTAGAGTATCACTGACTACCTTAACCATAATAAAGCACCCATTTTCTATCACTAACAAGGTTTTGAGGGTAACTGGGTAAGTGTCAACAATGGTCACTTAAGTTGGAGCAGAGTCACTAATAGTGCTTTTAATGTATTGTAACTGTCAGTGGTGGTCAATATGATTGGGCGAAGTTACTAACAAGACTTTAATAGTAATTGTAAATGATGTTCACTATCGTTGGTGACCGCCTAACCTCCTCAGTGACTGCCTCAAACATTTTTGTCACCGCCATTAATTACTACCACCGCCGTCATACGTCGTCACCACCACATCAATAGTGACCATTAAATTTCTAATATAAATATCGTAGTGGTTCCATATTTTTTAGGGAAAAAATGATAGTAATAATCCCAACTATTGACGCCTTGACGGTCCGCTCATAATAATCCCAACTATCGATTATTTCAGAATAATCCCAACTTTGGGGACCTTCCGCCAATAATGGTCCGATGTGACCGACTATATATAAGTTTCTATAGTTTCTAAAGTGGATGAGAAGAGATATAGCAAATAATCCCTATAAATAATTCCAACTTTTTATTTTTACGCTTAATTCTATTAAAAAAACACCTGTTATAGCAGATAATATCCGGTCATGGACCATTATTGGCGGACAGTACATATAGTTGGGATTATACAAAAATAATTAATTGTTGGGATTATTGTTAGCGGACCAACAACAGTTGAGATTATTTTCAATTTTCCCTATTTTTTAATCTGTTAGTGACTTGTGTTTGGGCACAAGTCACTGATCAGGGTCATTAGGGTGGGATAAAAAAGATTTAATGAATTGATTGCAATTAGTGCGGGTAAGGTTCCGGTCATTGCGGTTAAAGTTTAAGTGACACCGGCTAGGATTTTAGTAATTGCTAGTCATCGTAACTCCATACTCAAATCGGTGACGACCTTACCCAACCACCACCTCAGGAGTCCCTATATCGTACACCCGGATGTACGTACATCCGGCCCAATTAATGAATTTGACTGGTAGTAGGGAACTGGATTCCTTCACAAAAAAATTAAGAACCCCGACGGAATTCGATCCCATGACCAATAATAGCATATGCTATCTTCCAACCATCTCACCAAGTCGTCTTGTTGTAATATTTAGTTCTTTTATCTTACTTATCCTATATAGTTTCATACTGCGTATTATTAATAGTAATTATAATATTAACTATTCTTTTGCCTTTTCTCATTATTACTTCATTAAAAGAGTAATTCATATTTTTGAAGTATTTATTTGATCTATGAATGATAGTATTAATTTATATAAATATATTTATAATTTTTTTTTTATATAGTGTTAGGTTCCTAATAAGCGTGATGCTCATCAAAATTGTTTTAATGCTCATAATAGGTCTGATGCACATTAAAAGTTTAATAATGCTCATTTAACAGAAACAGTGATTTTCATCTCAATATATGATATTTGATGCTCAATGAATATGTTGTTATTCAAAGTAACAAACTTTGCGATTTTCATATCTAGGAACATTTTGTAAGATGTGCATGCTTATCTGGTATTGATCTTATGCTTATTTTCTAAATGTCATATCAACATATTTTCTTTAAAGTACTATTTTACATTAGGTTCACATATTGAAATTCATAGGAGTTGATTAGAAATATAATTTAATAAGTTTTTATAAAAGGAAAATTATATTTATATGACATTGTAAAAATGAGCATAACATGAGTACCAAATGAACATACATAACTTACAAAGTGCACATTGTTATGAAAATCGTAACATTTGTTAGTTGAACATCATGACATTTTAATTGATTTTTCAACCTCCACTATTGATACTTTTGAAAAATGCATTGATATGAATTGTAAAAATGAGCATTACATTAGTAACAAATGAGTAATAATGAACTTTTAATGAGCATCAAACCTTTTATATTGAGAATTAGGAGTCCAATATTCAGAATCATGATCTCTGCTTCATAACTTCTAATTCACTTTCTTTTTTTGTTATTTTTTCTTTTATAAAAACTTATTACATTATCTTTATAATCAACTCCTATGAATTCCATTATGTAAATGTAATTTAGAATAGTACTTTTAAAAATGCATTGATATGACATTTACAAAATGAGCATAACATCAGTACCTGATGAGCATACGTAACATTCAAAATGAGTATTAATGAATTTTTTTAGTTGTTTTGTTAGTTGAACATCACAACATTTTAATTGAGCATCAAACCTTCGTTATTGAGATGAAATTCACGGTTTCTGCTGAATGAGCATTAATGAACTTTTAATGAGCATCAGACCTATTATATTGAGTATTAGAAGTCTAATATTCAAAATCGTGATCTGTGCTTCATAAAAAATGAGCATAATATCAGTATCGATTGAGCATATGTAGCTTACAAAATAAGCATTAATATGTTGAGCATACGGACATTTTTCATTGAGCATTAAACCTCCTCTACTGAGTATTAAAAGCGTGCAATTGAGTACTGATTGAGCATCAAGACGTTTTTATT